TTTGGAATCTAGAAAAATGTAGGATGTTATAGGGCCACCAAATGGCATTAAAGAACAATACTAAGTACTGTAATATTAGTGTGCTCAGTTAGTACTATACTACTTTGTCTTACAACTGTTTGATTCCGGATTAAATGCAATTAAGTACCTGACCTTCATTAGCAAAATGAACTCACCAACCTCTTATTTGAGCATGCATCCATAAGTCTGTTAAGACTGTGGAAGCAGGGGCGCCTGGGTGGCTTAGTCATTAAGCATCTGCCTTCAGCTCAGGTCATGATCTCAGTCCTGGGATCCAGCCATCAGGCTCCCTGTTTGGGGGGGGGAAGACTGCTTCTCCCTCTCCCACTCCCCCTGCTTGTGTTCCCTCTCTTGCCATCTCTCTGTCAAATAAATAAAATCTTAAATAAAAAAATAAAAAGACTGTGGAAGCAGAAGGATATATAGTAGAAAATGACCTAATCTAATTCATCTTTAATCCTTTCTATGTAGCAAGAGAGTAAATGCTAATACATGCCTAACGTATGTATTCATGTATTGAAGAAATTCAAACAGATGAACAGTGAGTGGTACAGCAAGTAATCAGGCCAATACCAACATTATAAGGATTTTAGGATTTTTAAAAATAAATTCAATTCACTTAAAATACTGTTACTTTTCAGAATACAGACTCAAATTCCAAGAAAGCACTTTTAATAAAATAAGGCACAATGTTTAATAAGGCAAAATTCACACAGAGGGTTAAAATAACATCACATTTTCTTGTATGTCCTGTGGGGGAAAAAGGAGGTATAGAATTGAAGTAGCTTAAACATTTTTTAAGAGCATTTACCATTACAAAGTAATACATAAATCTGATGCACTTAATTATATCTTGTCCTGAAAAGAAAATTTAATTGTTGAGTCACATTGCTGAATTACATTTATTGTTATCATGGTTTTAAATATCCATATACTTATACAGATATTCCTAATTCACAAGATTTCAAATACATAAAACCTAAGAAAAAATATAAATGAAAACTAAGAAATAAGACAATGAAATTTAGTAATTTGACTAAAGTAAAAGTACATATATTTTAATATCCTTTGTTGATACTTTAAAGTCCCAAACTTTATAAAAAGTTAAAATACTGGTAACTTAAAATATTTCTCCCATATTTGTTTCTCATGAATACAAGTGGGCTCAGAAATGCAACAAACCCTAATTACGGACACACAGGGCTCTCCATGATTGTACTGTTGTAAAGTGATTGTTGAAGTTAATATTCCTTCTCAATAACACATAACATCACATCAATGTCAACTGTTTAATAAAGGAGTCTCTTAAAACATTAGTTGTAGACATAAGAATTAACCAGTTTAGTAATATTTTTGTAGTACCAGCAATAGCACTTTCAGTCTTATCCCAGATTCTTCTAACCACAATGCAGAATAAAAGAGTTTTATCCAATTTATTCACAGCCAAAGTAAGTTCTGGTAAACGCACTTAGTCAACCTAACCATGGTTTTCTGGTACAATGGTATGTAAATAACCTTCATTAAATTCATAAATTTTAGTATTTACTAGATTGAATACTACACTTTAGAATAGATTGACACTGATAAATCTCAGTAAAAGTCTAGTAGCACCCAAATCAGTATTACCCTGTGAGTGTTCAATGTTTGTTGTTAGTGAACTATTATTTTCTACATCAATTCTTAGCAAATATGGACCAAGGAATGATAGAAGAATAGAGATATTTACAAGTAAAATGTTAAAACATAGCCCCTTGCAACCTAGTGTTACAAAGAAACCACTCACAAAATATCCTAGGCCTCACAGCAATAATACCTTTAAATCATGCTATTAGTATGAAGATGGTTGGGAACTGCTGTCATCTCTTAGTGGTAGCAGATAAATTTTCTTTTTAATATAAAAAAGAATATACCTTCTCACTGATTTTATTTCAGGGGACTCTGATCCTTAGGACTTGACCTCCTCCAATAGTATGCACGATTGGGATTCCCTCTACAAAAGCCATAAAAGCCCTGTTTTAGGGGAAGGAATCCCTCAGGTCACTCAGTCTTTCTCCCTCAAGTCAAATGCAAAAGGTCATTACCCTGTCACAAACAACTTACTAAATGACACAGTTCCCCAGACTTTGGGTCTACAGTGGAGGATTTAAGGCACACGCTTTCTGAGCATAAATGAAGACACTGCTGCCTTTAAAAACATCACAACTATAATGAAAATACAAAAGTAGATGTTATTAAGTTAATCAAATTAATGTTATAAGAGAATAGTGCTTAATACAGAAACAGTGACAGTCAAGTACTTTTCTATACAAAAGGAATCAGAACTATGTATCACAGATCATGTTGCCTAAAAACATGCACATCAGCCTTTACTGTTAACACCCAGCACAACTTAAAAGCTGACTGTTTTGGACTAAATAGGGAGTAATGTTTATACTAACATAATAAAATACCTACTTTGGATAAGAAGTGAGGGGGTCATTTAAGTAAAAATGAGATATTTCTAAATAAATGCAGCTTAACTAATTATATACATGTTTTGTAACTGTTTTGCCTACAAAGGGTCTTATTATGTAGAATAACTTTTTATATAAATAAATACTGCTAAAATGTTTTAAAAGATCAAACTTTATTTGTACTAATTATTTGCTTAGTATTTTTTTTCTTTTTTACATAGTGACAAGGTAAACATTAACCAAGGCTGTAACACAAATTCCAGGTTAATGAGGTATTACTTTCTCCCTTTGAAAAGAGCAAGGTTGGTGGTAAGAAAATCCTATTTCCTTGCTGGCCCATCATTATGGAAGGAAGTGGATAATCTTCCAGTAGCAGAAACCAAAAATATTTAGAGATAAAGGCTTTCAGGTGGTAAATAAGCCATGTGATTTTAAAACAATTTACTATTACTTTAAAGAACTTTCTTGGCTTAGTGATATACCTGGGTGTCTGGTGACTCCTCTGTCCTGGCCCTTTGTTACTTTCAAAGATTTCTCTCATTTAATACTCCAGCAATCAGCCTTTTCCTTCTCCTCTTTTGCTTAAATTGATATCTACAATGATATCATTTTGGCAGTTTGGCAGGATTGGTCTGCAGTATTACTCTGCTCTAGGCCTTTAACTTTTATTTACATCGACATAAAAATTTCTCAAATTTGAGGTACCGTTTATAATGCATATTTACTTTTACATTTGGTAATTTGAAGTTCCAAATAGTTAAGAATTTCCAAATAAGAGACTCCTCTGGCACACACTGAGAAGTAAAATGCAAAATAACCCTCAGATCTTCCTCTGGTATTCAAATACAAGGAATCCTAAGAACCTTGACTAACTTGTCCTTAGGTAAGCCAATCCCTGGCACCAAGGAAGCAAGAGATTGTTATCAGCGAATCTTATTTCCTAAAATCCTAGGACTATTCAAACTGAGTTGGTGACACTGAGAATTGGATTCTAGGAATAAAGATTACTAAGAATGTTTGACCTATCCATTTCCATTTCAAATATTAACACTGAAGAATTCCATTCTAAACACATTAATGCTGTGGTTTAGTTTTATCCACAGAAGTTCTGGTCACTAAAATTGTCCAATTGGAGCTTTATCAAAAATTTGTTTCATTATGAAAATTAGTACAGATTCTTAAGTCTCAAAAATACAGTTTATTAACTAGTTTAAATATAAACATATGACTTAGCAACTAAAGAGATAGACTATCATTTCAATACATAGTCAGCTATATGATTTAGGAGTTGATTATCTGGTTTCTAAATTATCAAGTCCCTTGTATCTCATCTTCTGGCTAATTTCTACAATCACCAGTTATTTAAAAAAAGGGGGGTGAGTAGAGAAGAGAAACAGAGAAAATCTTAGAAATTATTAGCAGCTCTTCTAAAAGGTTAGGTCAAAAATTTTTTAAAAAGATAGAACTGACAACTGAAATGCAGATTTCAGTAAAAGTCACTGAAGACAGCGGCACACTGACCTTAGATTTTCAAATGTACATGTACAACAAACATGTTATTATATATTATGGTATACATCTGCATATATAGCAAAGGCCAGAAAGTGTTTCTGGTTGGGCCTATTTACATCTATAATAGGTCAATCAGTTTACTTTCTTTCTGGGAAGCTGGGAAACACTTAACTGTACTTATATACCTACCCATTTATTTTACAAAGACTAACTCTTGGAAGATTACCCAAGCTAGTAAAGGATTAGGAAGTAAACTGAGGCATTTAAGCCAGAAAAATTTGGACCTATCAATTTGGGTATTTTACTATGAATACATTATTTTCTACGAAAATATTTTATGTATTGCTATTAACTAAGTCAGGTACAGAACACTTTGGGCTTCTCACTTAGGCACTGCCTAAGTTATCTTTTCCTTTCATAATTTCATATGCAGCTTGCTGTGTCTAAATGGAGAAGTAAACAAAGACTTTACATTACTTTCATTTTATGATCTAATCACCCATGTACTATTTTGCTAGGCAGCAGAAACATACTAGATTACCTATAGAGACCTAGAAAATTTCTCAAAAGGAAAAAATATTATTACATTCTAACAAGGTGAAGGGATTCACTTTATAGCAGCGTTTCACAACTGCAGTCATGAAACTCCATGATGTTTCATGAATAACACATAATAAACTGTGAACTATCTTACAATATATTTTCTTCTAAAGTAAAAAATACACAAAACAAAAACCTAACATATGTACATTATTATTATCATACAACAATCTGCTTTTAAGAAATGTTGTGCCTTAGTTGTGAATGCCAGGAAGTCAGAAGGGAGAGCTTCTTTTTTTTTTTTTTTTTTTTTTTTTTAATATTTTATTTATTTGTCAGAGAGAGAGAGAGCACGAGCACAGGCAGACAGAGTGGCAGGCAGGGAGAGAGAGAGAGAAGCAGGCTCCCTGCCAAGCAAGGAGCCCGATGTGGGACTCGATCCCAGGACACTGGGATCATGACCTGAGCCGAAGGCAGCCGCTTAACCAACTGAGCCACCCAGGCGTCCCCAGAAGGGAGAGCTTCTGATGTTCTAATGTGTTTCTGATCTACATTTTATTGTATAGGTAACATTTACCACTAAAAAAACATTTTATTAAAAAAAAAACATAAAAACCCCAAAACCCCCATCATTTTATTATTGGTTATCTAATGACTGCTAGTATGTTTTGTGTATTTTATAATATCAAAATTATAATTCTACTATTCAATTTTTATTCCAAGTTAGCTAGTTAATAAAAAATTTGGTCATTTCTAATAGCAATTAATTTGTGAAACATTTTTCTGCCATACTTAAGGGATATATTTAAGAAGTTTTACATGTTATCAATACATTCCTTTCAAAAAAGTATTCCATGGTTATACTAGTTTTGGAAATTATTCTATTTCTTACAATTGAAAGACTGCCATAAAGTCTTTACACAAATAATGGCTGCCCACAATTTTATTTGGCTTGTAATTGTTTTCTAGTTTTTCTTTAAAACGTAGAGAAAGTTACAGATCAGTACACACAGGCAAAGGAGTCAGACATGACTTAAAAATTTTAAAATCATTTTCCCACTTCTTTAACGCAAGATACAAAGAAGCTTTCTAAGCTTACATCTCTTCTCTGTCAAAAGAAGTCTGACAGATTTTTAAATCAAAAGCTGTTATTCTGTCTTATGATGAAAAGATTAATCAAGACTATTGCTTCCCATTAAGTGCAAAAGTGATTTCCTTACAAGCGGATCACTTCATGTTTAAACAAAAAATTCAAGTTAAAGTGGCTGTGAGCTCTTATGTCAGATAAACAGCTGTTTACCTAATTCTGTTAAAGCATATTTTAAAGTGTTCTGCATAGTATGTCAGGTTATACAGGCTGCTCTGGCATCATTACTTGAAAAAATTTCTAAAATCTTGCTCGGATTAAGGCATTTTAACAGTCACTGCTGGATTACAGAAAGGAAACAGCAATCATATAGAACAAAGGAGCAAAACTAAAGAGTTTTAAAATCCCACATAAAAGTTATATCCCTTACTTTACCAGTTAGTAGGTCAGCAAGGGTTAGGTCCTATGTAACCATCTGTGAGCTTATGTGAATAGCTCTGTAATCTAGACACATGGGCAATACAAGAAGGGAGGGCTAATCCTGTTAAGGCATAGTGTTCAGTCTAAACCCAAGGACAACTCTGGTAATAATTACAGCTCTGATCATTTCTTTCTTCATCTCAACAGTCACAAGTTACACCACTCATGGTTTATTATAGCACTGCTCTTCAGAATGCTCCATTGTGCCATGTGATTCATGCAAAACTTGAGTGAAAATTGCAAACAATAAAACTGCAAACAATCAGCTAAATTCGAAACCATCATTCAGAGTGAATTATATTCAAAGAATCCAAACATGGAACCGGACTCATTCCTGCTGAATGGGAAGATAAAATACAAAATCTTTTCTACCATCTCCAACTCTTTCATGGACATTCAAGATGAAGATACCATTTCAAAGTCTTTTTCTTTTCCAATCACCTTTGCTTAGTTCTTTTACATGTATCATACCACCCTCCATTCTTTTCAACCAAGAAGAACTTTCTGCATTCTGTGTGCAGCGACACTAGCTTCGTCCTCCGAGTCAGATTCACTCTGGGATGTGGAGCTGTGAGAGGCAGAACTGCAAGGGGAAGAACATTCTGGGGAACATAAGTAGTGCATCAGTGGGAGGCGGTACTTCCCACAGAAGTCCACAAATTTAATTTGTCTGACACAGCAGTCAAAGTAGACTCCTAGAGAGAAGAAGGAATTAAGTACAAAATAATCATTACAAAGCAAAGAGCCATTTCTTTTTCAACCCCTTCTCCAATATTCTGAAAAGTCATATACAGTCTCCTTTTCTGTGAATTTTAAGCAGAAGCAATAGTTGCTTCTATAGCTATTTACAGAAATACCAGAAGGCCTTAGGGATGACAATTTGGCTACAAAGAGAAGGCCAGATAAGATTTATCTTTAAGGGAGCTGGCATTAAAAGGATACTGTTAGCTTCTTTTCTCTGGGTGACTTGGTGAACAATGGCTGATGGAGAGATTATAGGATACCTGAAGTGTTCTTCCTCCACTCCCCAAGTATTCCTTGGTACTACCCTACTGGCAAGAAGCTTAAACCCCCCCCCCTCCCCCGCAAGGGACACCTGGGTGGCTCACTTGGTTAAGCAACTGCCTTGGGCTCAGGTCATGATCCCTGGGGAGTCTGCTTATTCCTCTCCTTCTGCCCTTCCCCACGACTCATCCTCTCATGCTCTCTCTCTCTCTCTCAAATAAATAAGTAAAATCTTAAAAACAAAAAAACAAAACTCCTTTAATAATGATCCTAAAAGATTTGTTGTCATACAAAAAATTTGCAGAAAAGAGACGACTTTTGATATTCTTGTTCTTACGTATTGGGAAGGGAAAATCTTACATTTCCACAGGCTCTAAATCTACAGGTTTCAGAGCTGTTTCATGAATGATCTCACTTGATTCTCACACAATTATATACTGTTAGGTAGACTGAAACACTATTCACCTTTTTCAATTCCTAATTTAGTGCCCCTGAGATGGGGCCCTTCAGCTAAGTAAAACTACATCTCGAGATGTGAGGAAAGCAGAAGATACTGTAGCTCAGGGTTCAGTATAACTGGAACACCTACAATTCTGGGTCCCATCACCCTTCTTCTTCTTCTTCTTTTTTGTTTAAGATTTTATTTATTTATTTGACAGACAGAGATCACAAGTAGGCAGAGAGGCAGGCAGAGAGAGAGGAGGAAGCAGGCTCCCTGCTGAGCAGAGAGCCTGATGTGGGGCTTGATCCCAGGACTCTGGGATCATGACCTGAGCCAAAGGCAGAGGCTTTAACCCACTGAGCCACCCAGGCACCCCATCCCATCACCCTTCTGCAGAGCAATCTCAACCTCTATGCTCTAAGACTACTCTGTGTATCACATAAGGCTCTAAACTAAGAAGATGTGGTTCAAGCAAAGGAGAAACAATGATTTCTACTTACCTTTTTTCCCTCATTAGCTTTCTAATTTTCTGATTGTGTAGTCAGTATAATTCATAGTTTAAAAAGGGGATTTCATGGTATGTTACTTTGAACAATTTAGGAAACTAAAGTAAAGTAATAGACTGGTCAACCAATATTGATAGTAAATCCCCCAAAATGTGTTAGCATCCTAAAAAAAGATGGAAGTAATAAAATAAAGCCTTATAGAGTCACCATGAGCTAGAACAGACAATATTGTCTTGTCATGTCTAGGATCTCAGACTCTACAAAGACAAAAAAATCTCTCAAAATATAAATTTATTTTCTCTGGGGCACCAAGGTGACTCAATTGGTTAAGATTTCAATTCTCCTTATGGCTCAGGTGGTGATCACAGGGGTAGTGAGAACAAGCCCATGCCCCACGCCCCTCAGGCTCTGTGTTCGGTGGGAAGACTGCTTGAAGATTCTCTCCCTCTGCCCCTCACAACTCACGCACTCAAGCACATGTGCTCTCTAAAATAAATCAATCTTTAAAAATTTTTACTTTTCGGGACGCCTGGGTGGCTCAGTTGGTTAAGCGGCTGCCTTCGGCTCAGGTCATGATCCCAGCCTCCTGGGATCGAGTCCCACATCGGGCTCCTTGCTCAGCGGGGAGCTTGCTTCTCCCTCTGCCTCTGCCTACCACTCTGTCTGCCTGTGCTCATGCTCGCTCTCTCTCTCTCTCTCTCTAATAAATAAATAAAATCTTTAAAAAAAAAAAAAATTTTACTTTTCTTTAACTCAGTGTTCAATAGCTAATGAGTCTGAGGGCAGAAATATCACTGGTCCAATTTCTGTATAATCTTGATTTTTAAACTAATAATTTTTAAAGTATATTTGTTTCTAAGATAAATCACATCAGTATACTAAAAAAAAGTCATTTAAAAAAGCATTTAAAAGAGAAAAGATAATTCTTACAGAAGTCCGTTTTTAGGAAAGGATATTTTCAAAGAACAGATTAGACATGTTATTATGCCCTAAGGCCTGGTGGGAATGCTGTCCCTCACCACTGTTAAAGCCAACTTGAGGGATGCCTGGGTGGCTCAGTCCAATAAGCTTCTGCTTTTGGCTCAGGTCACAATCCCAGAGTCCCGGGATTAAGTCCTGCATCGGCTCCCTTCTCCCCTTGCTTGTGCACATGCTCGCTCTTGCTCTCTGATAAATAAATTCTTTAAAAAAAAAAAAAGCCAACTTGGGAAAGGAGAGCTACAGAGAAAGCTAAGCACTTCTAATCTGGCATATCACAGCACCACACCTTCTGCTTCTAAGAGTGAGTGGCCAGAAATGGCCCAGAGGATCACCTTTTGTAAACCAAGAGTGTCCTTTTTATTTTTTAATATTCTTTGAGGAACTTAAATCATTTTCTCTCTTTTAACCTTCAAACAGTTTCAAAACATGATGGGACTTCTTATGTGCTAGGCTGTGTGTTTGTGAGCTTGAGCACAAGCAGGGGGAGCAATAGGCAGAGGGAGAAGCAGGCAGAACCTTGGGATCATGACCTGAGCCAAACGTAGATGTTTAACCAACTGAGCCACCCACATGTCCCTAAATTCAAGAAATTCTGAATCATGGATGTATAAGAATATAAAAGTCCAAGGTATATTCCAAAATTGGCACATTTAGCCAATTCTCCTACATTCTGAATTATAATCTATAAAGGTACCTGATACTCATAACAGTGGGTCTAGGAAAATGTCCTTCAAATAAATATGAAAGGTGGCTAAATATTTTGGAGGCTCTTTTTAAACTGTTATGACTGTTTATGTTTCCTTTGTGTTTCCTCTTATTTTACTAGCTTACTCTATTATCTTGTGACAATTCCAAGATATGATGAGACTTTCTGGGTACTTTCCTTTTGTATGAATTGTAAAATACTTTAAAAAAAAAAAAAGGAAGGGAAAGGAGGGAAAAATGTCTTACTTTACTGGTAAAAGGGTGAAAGGGTGAGGGAAACAAAGAGGCTAAATGCCTTTCTCTGGAAGAAGATGACTAATTAAAAACACTTAGACTATCAATATAAAAAATAGCTAAATGAATGGGAAAGATATACACTGAATTAACTTACCTCCACACTTTGGGTTCGGGCAATTGCTGGCTAAGCTCAAGTATCTAAGAAGATTCTCGGGAAGATCGTATGGAGTGTAGGAAATATTTCGAATTTTAATGGTCCGTGCAGCTAATTCCAGGAGAGTTGGAGGGTCATAGGTTAAATCTCTAACAAAACGAACAACCAATGGATTTCCTCGCAAACTCAACTCTTCCAAATGAATAAGGTTGAGGATCTCTCGAGGCAGGTATGTCAGCAAGTTATTGTGAAGACTGAGGGAACGAAGCGAATGCAACCTACAATGAATGCAGTACAAAAATTAATGGCAGTGAGCAAACTAACTACTATGAAAGCTAAGCAAAGAACTTGATTTCCCAAGCAATTAAGGCCAACAGAAGTAAAATAGAAAGGAGCTGAAACTAGACCAGAGTATAGGTTTGTCAATATCATGAGATGACAGTTGCCCATGGGATCTTACAGAATGTAGAATAATAATCAGTATTCTTATGTGCTAGGCTGATATAAATGCTAGATTTAAAGATTTTTTTAGCATGCTTTATAATTTGGATACCTACAAGAAAGATTTAAAATGCAACAGAAATCAAGAGCCTTCACATTATTTCATCAGGATAAAAATGTTTCATATCAAATATAAAATCAGTAAAATTCCATAAAACCTGGGGAAATCTATGCCAAATTACTCTATTTTTGATTAGAGAAAACAGGCTAAACAAATATTTTGAGACATTAACTGGGGCACTTAAAAGTCATGTTAAAAATAAGCAACTCAACTCATAGCAAACCTCAGAACTGTAATTCTCATGTATTATTTACTTTGAGAATGCCTAAAATTACTCACTGTGAAAGCTGAGGAGGCACACTTTGGATTTTGTTGTCACATAATACCAAATAACTTAGAGAAGGCAGATTTGCTAATTCTGGTGGGATTTCTCTGATAAAGTTTCCTCCAAGATATAAACACTCTAAACTGTAAAAATAAATGAACAAAAACAAAAATGTAAACAAAAATTGGACAAGACATCCCAAGGTCTTTATTACAACCAACACATTTCATTTATTCATTCAGCAAATGTTTTATCTAGGATCGGCTATATACTATACAGCCTCTAGAGAAATAATGCAATTTTCAGAGAGCTTATATTATAGGTAAGCAGGTAAGACATGCTATTATAATTAAACTCAAAACAAGGCCAAAAATAAGTATAACCTGATTAAAATATCAAAATAAGCAGAGCGATACATAAATGATAGAGGAGTTTTAAAAAGCAGAGAAGAAAGAAAAGGACACAGTGCTTAGGACTGGCAAAAGCTCTGGAAAAGTGTTGTGACTTCAGATGGACCATGAGTTTGGCCCATGCAGATGGGAAGAAAGAAGGCACTTCAGGTTGGAGGGGAGGGCTTTTATGGGACAATGGACACATCTTTTAAACAGAAGAGCAGAGTTCCTGATGAAGAATCCAGAGAAAAGGCTGAAGGAAAGCCGGATTTTGTGCTAGTAGGCATGGATTTGATGCACTTTTTAGGCAATGGGAAAACCACTAACCTTTTTCTGAAAAGAATGGGAAAACATGGCTGAACTCTACATTTTTTCTTTGTTCTTATTATAGCAAAAGCATTCCTCAGGAGCTTTCTAAATTAATTGTGTAAAACGACCACTATCATGAAATTAAAGTTCCAGATAGTTACCTTATTTTCCATCAAGTCACCAACATTTTAGACAACATTCTTTTAAGCATAGCATTTAGACTAGCATTCTTTTTTTTTTAATTTTATTTTTTATAAACATATATTTTTATCCCCAGGGGTATAGATCTGTGAATCGCCAGGTTTACACACTTCACAGCACTCACCATAGCACATACCCTCCCCAATGTCCATAATCCCACCCCCTCTCTCCCAAACCCCCTCCCCCCATCAACCCTCAGTTTGTTTTGTGAGATTAAAAGTCACTTATGGTTTGTCTCCCTCCCAATCCCATCTTGTTTCATTTACTCTTCTCCTACCCCCTTAAGCCCCCATGTTGCATCTCCTCTCCCTCATATCAGGGAGATCATATGATAGTTGTCTTTCTCCGATTGACTTATTTCGCTAAGCATGATACCCTCTAGTTCCATCCATGTCATCGCAAATGGCAAGATTTCATTTCTTTTGATGGCTGCATAGTATTCCATTGTGTATATATACCACATCTTCTTTATCCATTTAGACTAGCATTCTTTTAAGACACCTTTGAATGTGGGGAAAAAATAGCCCACTAAACTATTACCCAAACTTCCAGGATAAGAATTACCTGGGATACTTTTAAAGCTGCAAATTCCAGGCCCCATCCAGATTCACTAAATCAGATTTCCACGTTAAGATTTTATAATATAAGGTTAAGAGAGTAAGGTTAAAAGGTAAAGCCAAGTTACTCTGCAGGGCTACAGCTAATTACAAATCCATAATTAGCAAATTAAGAGTGCTTCTTACCATATAACCCTGTCAACACTTATTATTGTTTGCTTTAAATTTTATTTACTTTTTTACTATTTTATTATGTGAAAAATGGAACCATTCTGTTTTTTTTTTATTTTATTTTATTTATTTATTTGACAGACAGAGATCACAAGTAGGCAGAGAGACAGGCAGAGAGAGAGGAAGGGAAGCAGGCTCCTGGCCAAGCAGAGAGCCCGATGTGGGGCTCGATCCCAGGACCCTGGGATCATGACCTGAGCTGAAGGCAGAGGCTTTAACCCACTGAGCCACCCAGGTGCCCCCCATTCTGTTTTTTTAATTTGCAGCTCTCTAGATATTAATGAATTCAGCATCTCTGTATATGTTTTTGGCCATTTGTGTATCTTTAGAGAACTGCCTGTTCCTATTCTTTACCCATTTTTCTCACAGGTTTATATGGTTTTCTGTTATTAATTTGTTGGGAGCTTTGTTGTTAAATATATGTTCCGTATAACTTTGTTCCTCTGTGACCTAGAGCATGGTCTATTTTTGTTCACATTTTGCATGTGTAAAATGAATGCGGAGCTACTAGTATTGAATTTATTAACTGTGCAACCCAAAATTTTTATAGCCTGATTAATTTGCCTCCTTGCTCTGATGGTTAGTCTTCTACCAGAACCTCAGTTTTCCTTCTTCCCTTTATAATTACCAAGTTTTGCTCTTTCCCCTTAAAATATAGAAGCTATAACACAAATAAATCTTTGCTGAACTGTTCCTTAATTCACATGAAGCATTTCTCTTTTATCCTTTTAATCCATTTGTCTTAATGCATTGCCTCTTGGTTTTATTTTTGTTTGTATTAATTTCATTTAAACCACCATTCACCAGTATAAGAACTTAAGCCAGTTACTTATTCTTGTTATGCCTGTTTCTTCCTCTTCAAAATGGAATAATATTATATATTAAACAAAGTGCCTAGTTAACAAATATGAACTAGGCATCTACCATGTGCCAGGCACCATTCTAGGGAACACAGTATAAATAAGACCGAATTCTTGACCTTACAGTCTAGTGAGTTGGATAATAAATCAGTGAATGTGCATGTATTATGTCTGAGGGCTTTAAGTGTTACCTCCCTAAAAAGGGAGGAAATCATATGGTAATGGAAGTGAAATTCTAGACAGGGTGGTTAGGAAATGTTTCTTTTAGATGACATGTGAACAGAAATATGAATGAAATGAATGAGTACAAATTCCTAAGATAGAAAATGCTTGGTGTGTTGCCATTTGTGGGTACATGAGGGTGGTAGAAGGGGGAGAGTGGTGGTCAGAGAGGTAGCATGGGCCTTTTGGGCCTCAGTAAGGATTTTGAATTTTATCCTAAGTAGGAAGGATTTTGAACAAAGTTGTGTAACTTTACTTACACTTTAGAAAGATCACTGTGTCTACTGTGTGGAAAGTAGATTAGTAAGTGGTGGGGAGCAGAGAGCACAATGGGAGGAGTTGAAGTTGGAGGACCAGACTGTAGCCTAATGAGGTAGTACAGATATGAAATGATAGAGATTTCTTTGGTACATCTTTTTCTATCCTATTATTTTTAATTTATTGGGGTATTTCTATTTTAAGTGTAACTCTTATAAATAGGATGCAACTTGATTTTGATAAGTTTAGACCTGTGTTTTCTATTAACACGGTATACCTAAATATCTTTTTTCTCTTCTGCTCTATTGTCGTATTTCATTCAAGTTTCCCTTCTTCCCATTCTCCCTCTACTATTTTGAACTGTATATGCTATTTCTGTCTTGCTAGTAGTTACTAGTTACTCCTTGAATTTGCTTTGCTCCTTCCCACTCCCAAACACACATCCATGCTCCTTTCTGTTCTTCTCTTCATACCATTTAGAATTAGATCTATCTTGATTTGAAAATAAATTTATTTCCAATTAGTAACTATTCAAATTCATCAATATGCTTTACCAATTTCTTTGTTCGGGATTGTTTTTGGAGCTTGTTATTTTATTTATAATTCCACATTTTATTAAAATTAGTTCTTAGTACCACCTTACACCAGTTAGAATGGCCAAAATTAGCAAGACAGGAAACAACATGTGTTGGAGAGGATGTGGAGAAAGGGGAACCCTCTTACACTGTTGGTGGGAATGCAAGTTGGTGCAGCCACTTTGGAAAACAGTGTGGAGATTCCTCAAGAAATTAAAAATAGAGCTTCCCTCTGACGCTGCCATTGCACTACTGGGTATTTACCCCAAAGATACAGATGTAGTGAAAAGAAGGGGCATCTGTACCCCAATGTTTATAGCAGCAATGGCCACAGTCGCCAAACTGTGGAAAGAACCAAGATGCCCTTCAACGGACGAATGGATAAGGAAGATGTGGTCCATATACGCTACGGAGTATTATGCCTCCATCAGAAAGGATGAATACCCAACTTTTGTAGCAACATGGACGGGACTGGAAGACATTATGCTGAGTGAAATAAGTCAAGTAGAGAGAGTCAATTATCATATGGTTTCACTTATTTGTGGAGCATAACAAATAGCATGGAGGACAAGGGGAGATGGAGAGGAGAAGGGAGTTGAGGGAAATTGGAAGGGGAGGTGAACCATGAGAGACTATGGACTCTGAAAAACAATCTGAGGGTTTTGGAGGGGCGGGGGGTGGGAGGTTGGGGGAACCAGGTGGTGGGTATTAGGGCACAGATTGCATGGAACACTGGGTGTGGTGCAAAAACAATGAATACTGTTATGCTGAAAAGAAATAAAAAAAAAAATTAGTTCTCGGGGCGCCTGGGTGTCTCAGTTGGTTAAGCGTCTGTCTTCAGCTCAGGTCATGTTCCTAGGATCCTAGGCTCGAGCCCCGAGTCAGGCCACCTGCTCAGTGGAGAACCTGTTTCTGCCTCTCCTCTCAGCTCATCCTCTCTCTCTCTATCTCTGTGTCTCTCGCTATCTCTCTCTCTCTCTCTCAAAAAAAAAGAAAAAAAGTTAGCTTAGAGTCTTGGAGCACCTGGGTGGCTCAGTGGGTTAAAGCCTCTGCCTTCAGCTCAGGTCATGATCCCAGGGTCTTGGGATCAAGCCCCACATCAGGCAGTCTCCTCAGCGGGGCACCTGCTTCCTCCTCTCTCTCTGCCTGCCTCTCTGCCTACTTGTGATCTCTCTCTGTCAAATAAATAAATAAATCTTTAAAAAAAAAATTAGTTCTCATACCCAAAAATAGGTTGGCCCTAGACAAGCTTGTTTTCAAGCTGTGAGGTACAAACCTGCTATGCTAGTAAAGACCTTGCTATTTCTTTTAAAGTCCATTTTTCTTAGAGTATATATTTAACAAGTTTTTCCGTAAGGACCACGGTTGTTAATCTTTGAATTCTTTGTCTTTTATGTTTTTATCTCTTTCCTTCACTGTTGAGTAACAGCTTGGCTAGGCATAAAATTTTAGGTTGACATTACTTTTCCTTAGCACTAAGAAGATACTATTCCATTATCTTACTACAGCCAGTATTACTATTGTTCCTCTGTAGGTAA